ACGTGTGAGTGGGCTGGCCTCCGAGCCGCCACCGCCGGGAGCCCGGACCGGAGCTTGTTTATTCTCGCCAGGAAGGCTGGTGCCGGGGGTGGGGCGGGGCAGGGGGAACCTTTTCAAAAAATAATAATAATAAAAACGCTCATTTAGAAAACTCTCAAGGCGTGCTGAACTCCAGAAGGGTCTTGGAAAAAATGCTGAGAGAGTTTAAGTGTAAATGGACCCAAAACACCATAATTAAATTTCCCTTAAATTTACCAGAGTTTGGGGTCAAAGAAAAAATAAAACTTAGGGAAAATACACTTGAGGTTTCGGGCAAATGCCAGATGCTTAGGAAAATAGATTTCTGAGCTGTTCAAGCAGCTCCTGGCCGGGCCCCTGCCAGCCCAGGAACCATCTAGGCCTTAACCCCTCCCTGGCCAGTCTGGCCCCCTCAAGACTGTACCCCCGGACAACCTCTCTTGTGTTTAAAAGCTGTGGAGGTGTCATCACACCAAATCTGGCACTGGTGGGCCTTCATCTGGCCACCTGGGTCTCCTCTGCCATGGGCCTGGCTCTCCTTCTCAGCTGCCCTCTGCTCATGCCTCACCCCCAGGGGGCAGTCTGAGCCCTCAACCTCCAACCCCACCTCTCCTGTGTCCGCAGACAGCCTGGTCTCCTTCCTCAGCCCATCTGGGCACAACCACATTTTCCAAACCCAAAGTCAGGACTTGAGATCTGGAGGCCAGGAGGTGTGGGCTGGGGCTGCCAGGGCACGGCCCAGGTGACAGGCTCCCAACAGCACTTGATTCATGGTGTTGCCCTTTTCCAACAGCCTGCCAGGAAGCTCAGAGCTAAATTTAAGAATCTGACACGGTAGTTGGTGTTGGCTGAGGGCTTTGGGAATATGCTCTCTCTTCATGTTCTTAAAAAAAATCACCTTTCTGTTATAATGAGGAAATCGAGTGTGATTTTTATTTTCATCCTTCTCAAGTTTGCTGAAAATAAGTTGAAAAGGCAGGAATTTCCTATAGTCCAGCCCAGCCTGGCTCAGTGGTGGCCTGCGCTGGTCCCTGGTCCCCTGTCACTGGAGACAGCAGTGTCTCCCGGGGACAGAGGGGGGACAATAAGGGGACCTCCATTGTCTGGGGCACTATGCCTGAGACACTTCCCAGTGGAGGAGTGCATGCTGGGAAATGGGGTGCTCCATACAGCCTCCAGAGGAGGGGGCCTAGGGGCCTTTGGGGGGGATCAGTGTCCCCTCTGTGTCTCCTATCCTTTCACCAGCTCAACCCAGGCCAGGCCCTCCATCCCAGACACACTGACCGGGAGGTGCCCTCGCGGCTCAGCCACCCTCAGGTCCAGGTCTGAGCATGGCAGGTCCCCAAACCTCAGCCTCGATCCTTACCCATCAGGCAGCAGACCATCCACATCAGAAACACCGCAGTTCAAGGGTGCTGCATCTTGAGGCCACGGTGGACGTATGCGGGGAGACTCAGGAGCAGGTGAGGGCACGGCCGGTGGCTGCCAGCCGTGGTGGTCTCCCCACCCAGCGCCCGGCTCGGCTCCCTTCCTGCACACCCTCCTTGCTCTTGCCAGCACAGGCCCCAGCAAGCGGAGGTGCTCAGGGCCGACTCCCGGGCAGGAAGAACCCGGAGCCTTGCCCTGTGCCTCCCACATTCACTCGCAGCCCCATGAGGGCACAGGCAGAGCTCAGGGGGAACGGAATGAGGAGTTGGCTGGCGTGGAAGGGTGGTCCCCATGGGCTCCTGAGCCTCAAACTGGCCCTCTGAAGGTTTTGGACCTTCTCACCTGGCTTACCTGTGCAGGGGGCATCCGGAAGGCCTACCTGGCCAGGTGACTGGAGACTTGAGCTCAGTGATACCGCCAGAGTCTGGGGGAATGTTCTGCTGAGGGGGCTATAGTACTAATAACATCCTGCTTTCCAGGAACAGGATCTGAGTCCCCTTTAGCTCAGAGACAAGGAAATGCAACAATGTAAATAAGCCCTTGTTGCAGACTGTTTAACTAAGAAACATTTTGAACAATAAAGTCATATCAAAATAACAGTAAACAGCCCCCTGCAGAGATGGAGCTAGGGGAGACACCAGCTGCCAGCCTGGACTCGCCCTGGGGCGACCCTGTGCGGTCAGCTGGCACCTTCCAACAACATGAAGATTTCCTGCCCCCTGACCCTGGTGCCAAGGGGACCACTTCCACACGGCAGGGCCACAGAAGGCACCAGCCCTCCTAGAAGGTGGCCCCCCAAAGATGTCCCTTCCTCTCTCTCAGCACCCGTGAATGTGACCTTATTCAGAAAATGTTGTGTCTGGGGCCCTGAAGTAAGGTCCATGTGGCTGGGCTGTGGACCTCAAGCCAGGGCTCCCCTCAGAACGACCCTGAGTGTTGGGGAGAAACTCACCCTGTAAGAAAGTTAGTAGCTGTTTTAGAACCTTGGAACTGGGATGGCAGGACTTTTCTTCAACTCCCCTCCATGAATTCAAACCATGAAACCATTCCATTAATGGTGAAGCTGCCAGCACCACCCAGGGACAAGAGTCCTTGTAAGGGACAGAGATGGAGTGCTAAAAGCATTCATCAAGGGGGCACGCCACATCTGGAAGCCCAGGATGGAGGGAGGACGCTTCCCCAGACTCCAGACAGGTCCTGTCCACACTTGGATTTCTGGTCTCCAGAACTATGGGAGAAGGTACTTCTGTTACTTGAAGTCACTCAACCTGGAAAAAAAACCTCATCATTCCCACATGGGTTTGAACTGCCCACCTTTTGGTTAGCAGCCAAGCACTTAATATCTTAACACTGGGGCAAAATACAAAGCCTGCTCTTACTAAGCCACTCAGTCTAAAGCAATGTGTATGGGAGTCCCAGGACCCCCGCCAGGCCTGCTACCCAGGGAGGGGAGAGGATGGAGGGGGGCGGGAGCCCTCTCCTCCTGACGGAGTGGGGTCCTGGAGGGTTCAGCCACAGACAGCCAGGGCTGAAGTTCAAAAGGGGTGCAGGGTGCAAACACTCCCTCTCCCCCCACCATGTGCTTCAGCCAAACTCAACCAGAAGCTGGAGGCCAAGGGGGACTAAAGGATGCAGCCTGGGGCCGGGGGTTGGACCACTGGGCCCCCAACAGCTGATTCTGCCCATGAGGTCATCTTGGTAGAAGGGAAACAGTGGTGACCCTCTGAGAGGCTGGGCAAGTGAGCAGCTGGACCTTGGAGTGCTGTGGAAACTGTCCTGTGAGAGAAGCCCAGAGCACCCCTGGTCACTGGTCACCCCTCCAACACACACTGCCTCCTCCCTGGCCCCAACCTGGGTCCTGTCCCCACCAGCCCCCTTACCAGAGGATTTGGGAGAACAAACTCACTCCTGCATTCTGGGGGAGGAAGGAGGACAAAGGGCACAGCCTACATCTATCCCACAGGGAGTAACTGATTGATAGGGTGGTTAATAGATTAGCGAGCTGTGGGTCGATGGTGGGAAGGACACCCAGGAGAGGGAGGGCGGCAGGGCTGGGCCCAGCAGGTGGGCACAGGGCAGTGGACTGGTGGAGTGGGCAGTGGAAGCAGTTAGAGCCGGAGGACCACTTACTGCCCATCTTCCTGATGGACACAGTGAGACCCAGGAGACTTATTCCAGGGTACAAAGAGCTTTTCTAGAGGGCTGCAACACCGTCTGCCCACGTGCGCGCACACACACACAGCCCGCCAGGCTGCTGGGATCAGCACAGAGGCCAGTTAGCCTGAGGATTGGACCCCTGAAACTTTGGAGGCAACTTCGCCTGCGGATGGGCCAGCCCCTGCCCAACACCGGAATCCTGACAAGTCACCCAGCAATGGCCCTTCCTCTGTGCCCGATGACGCTTAGGGCAGGGGGACCCTACAGCTCCGGGGACCCTCGGATAATATGCACCAGGCCTTTGACCCACACTTCCTCCCCCCAAGGCCTCCCTGTCCCCTCCGAGGCCGGGTGCCTGCTCTGGGGAAGCGCTCCGCCGTCCCTCCCCCACCGAGCCCACCCTCGCCCTCCCGCCACATTCCCGGCCGGACCCCAGCAGGCCCGCGCTGTGCAAACACCAGCCGGCACTAGGCCTCGCTGTGCTCCCGGCGGGACCCGCCCTCTGGGCCCCTCGATACGCTGGGGGGCTCGCCCGCGCCCCGCCTCGGCTCCCACGCCCTCGGAGACCGCCAGG